TATATCAGTTGTAAAATTGAAGGTGTAATACAAAACAAAGAAAATGTATAATAAAACTGTATTTTTTTTAAAAAACGGTCATAAGTCAGTGCCATTGCATTTCTTTCATTTAACTTGTTTCTTTTTTTTATTATTATTATTTTTCCCTTTCCCCAAGCACGAAACATAATTTTGCTTCCTCTTTCTGCAGAAACACCTCATTGTAGGTCATAAATTCAGGAACTGTGTTCAGCTCCTCTTTTGGAAATAGTCCTAGACTTCCAGCTACTCATTCAGGGACTGAATGTTACGACAGCACTGAAAAATGAGAAAAATCCTTGCACTTACAACTGGCGCAACCATCCCTAGGGCCATGCCATCAAAATTTGGGGTGCTTGACAACTGACACGTATTTGTGACTGTTGCTGTGTTCCCAGGGTCACGTGATCCCCATCGGCGACTTTCCCAGGGGATTTCCAAAAAGTCAAGTCAAATGGGGAAAAGCTGGATTTGCTTAATGACCATGTGATCCACTTAGCAACCACAGCAATTCACATAACCATCACGGCAGAAAAGGCAGTGAAATATTGAATTGCTAACTAGGACAAAGAAAACTTTTGCTAGACCATTGTTCGAATACAGCTCATCAGTCTGGAATCTGCAATGTATATCGGACATTCATACAATTGAGCGAGTTCAGAAGTATCTCACGAGAAGAGTACTACACTCCTCTGCTCGCAACAGAATATCCTACATCCCCAGGCTTGAAATTTTGGGCGTGGACAAACTTGAACTATGTTGCCTACGGTTGGACTTAAGCATAGTACACAAAATTATCTGCTACAATGTCCTACCAGTCAATGACTACTTCAGCTTCAACTGCAACAATACAAGAGCACACAACAGATACAAACTCAATGTAAACGGCTCCAAACTTGATTGCAGGAAGTACGACTTCAGCAGCAGAGTGGTCAATGCCTGGAACGCACCACCTGACTCTGTTGTTACATCCTCTAACCCCCACTCCTTTAACCTCAAACTATCCACTATAGACCTCACCCCATTCCTAAGAGGTCTGTAAGGGGCGTGTGTAAGTGCACCATCGTGCCTACCGTCCCTGTCCTATTGTCCCCATTTATTCGTACCTATTTCCTGTATTTTTACTCATGTTTATCTTGTAAGTGATTGACCAATAAAATAAATAAATAAATAGCAGGCAATTTGCTGGCTGCCTTCCTTAGGGACAGAAATTCAGTGCCAATTGTGGTCGTACGTTTGAGGACCCCTTGTTTTTTTTACTCCTCCGAAGGCCTGGCATGAAGTTTGTCTTTTCCACAAAAGGCCACACCAGGCCAGCCTGGTTCCTCACCTGGCCATGTTTCATGATGACCTGCTCTGAGTTTTGAAATGCCCGGAGGCTTTTTAACTTCCTGGAAAGTTTGACTACTCTGGAGCAAGGGCTAGGTAGGGGCTCAAAATACCCAGGTTGATTTCCCTACCTGGAAGATCCAGGATGGGGCAACAAATTACACTCCATTTAAACATCCTGCCACCTTGGCATTCTCCTCTTGAGGAACTAATACATCAATGCAACCCAATTAAATTAGGCATGGAGAATTAGGATTCTACCATTGTGTTTCCAGGAACAGCTGTAAAAAATTCCCTGCTTCAAAGTTTGGGGGACAGATAGCAAACATCTGCACCACAGCAGAATGTAGAAGTACCTTCAGATTTAAAACATCAGCCCCATGAAGACCAGAATCTTCACTGGATCATCATTTACAGAAGACAGACCACAGGATACCATAATACAGACCCAGGTTTGCTTCCAGAAGGCCTGAAGTTAAACCCCAGAACTTCCAAAGAGTCTAGAAACTTGCTGATAAAATTTTGAAAGTTTGTGTCTATAAAGACCTGGCTGGGATGCTCAACATGGGTGACTCAGTCCGCAGATATTTATATTGCTTTTCCGTTGCCTATAAAATATGCAGGCCCCATACATTTGTTATGTATGTATTTTCTTACAATTCGGCCACAACGTCACTGACATCTAACACAAAGCAGTGGGAAAGGAGCCCAGCAATGCCCTCAAAATGCATGGACCACAACACCCATCCAGGCAAGAGGTTGAGGGAATTGTAGTGCAGATGTAGGCCAAAACGGGAGGGGGAAATCTCAAAAACATTTGACACAACCCTTACTTTTCTGCAGCTCAAATAACCAGGCTGTTCCGCTGCTTTCACCCAGTTGGAGAGAGTAATTCTCTCGGGGAGAACCCCTAGGTTCTCTGCCCATGCTCAGAAGTACCCTTTCCCCCCCCCTGCATTAAAGCCACGGAGGGCCAGCGAGAGAGAAAGAGAAAGAATCATGAAAGTGAACTTGGCCGCTTTCGTGGCTTCTCCTTAAACCGTCGCGCTTGCTTACCCCAAATAACAAATTTAACAATACTTTTATTTAAAGAAATAACAAGGCCAAGTTGGACCTCTCCAGGAGGAGCTGATTGTGTAATAGGCAGATACTATGAATATTATTTTTTTTTCCCCAAAAGGCCAACCCCCAACCGCAAACTCCAGCACTTTTTCCCTCTCCAATCTCGCCTCCCGAAGCCAAGCCTTTACCTGCGCCCCGGAGCGTCCCCTCGGCCTAGGACGGAGTGAAAAGGCCCCGGGATCTTTTACACCGGAGGAGAGGGTAAGGGAAGCTTTTTCGGCGCAGGAGCGTCGTTCGGGCACCCCCTCCTCGCCGCCCGTCTCCGCCCGTTCGTGGCCCAGCAACTCCTCCCTCGCTGGGCGTTAGCCAAGGCAGGGGAAGGCGGCTGGAGCAGGGCGCGGCGGGGGGAAGCCTTGCGCAAAAACGCACGACTTGGAGACGGAAGAGGGGCGGCCCGGGCGGGTTTTTTCTCCGATCCCGGGTTTGTTGGGGAGACGGGAAGGGGCAAGGAGCGGGCCGGAGGAGGGAGCTGGGCGGCCGCTCTCCTCTTCAGCGGTTGGAAGCAGCAGCCGAAGTCGGCTTCCTCTCCTCCGCGTCTGCATTCTGCCTGCATTGCAACACCCCGGGGGAGCCGCGCCCGAGAGAGCTTGGCGGCGGCCCGGAGCGCAAAGTCGGTTTTCATTTCTTTGCGCGAAAAAAAAGAAAAGAGAGAAGAGTGCGCGGGATGCGGACCTGCTAATGCGCCATCCCCAGAGCGGCCGGATTGCCGGGCGGTTGCAGCCCTCTAAGGCAAAACGGCTGGTTTTCCGACTTATTTGTTTTTAGCTTAGCCTAAGAGGCGCGAAGCTGGACCGGCTGCATTTCAGAAACCCCGCCAGGGCTAGCTGGCTGTCCCCAACGGGGCGCTCTCCGACTACAGCGCCCATCACTCTCTCCCAGCAAATTAGTGTACACTACACAAGTCTGGCTTGTGGAGATCTCGGGATCTAACAAGGCGCTTTGTTGAGACGGTTCCAGGTTTTCCAATGGGGCACCCCCCTTTTCTGATAGGCGCCTCCAAAAAAAGGGGGATTTCCAAGAAGTGGAGAAGTCTTCATCATTTTTGCCCACTTTTATATTAAATAATCAACTCAAGGTGGCTGCTTCCTCTCCCTGTTTTCCCTACAACATCACCCTTATGAGGTGGGACAGGTTGAGAGAGAGGGATCAACCCAAAGACACCCAGCTGGCTTTCGGGCCCAAGGCGGGATTAGAACTCAAAATCCCCTGGGGATCGGCCCAAAGTCACCCAGTTAGCTACATGACTAAAATGGGACTGAAATTCAGAGTCTTCCTGTGTTTAGCCTAGTGGTTTCATCAGTAGACGAAACTGGTCTGCGACGCTGTGTGTGCAATTGTTTGGATTCAGACAACCACGGTCTGAGCCACTGTCTTGATGATGGCTTCTCCTTTGTACGGGTTGTGGGGAAAAAAAGAAAGGACACTTCTAAAGTGCTTGCGGTTTGGACAAAACCGAGACACCCCCCCACCCCCCTCCAGCTGTTAGATCATGGGTAGGTTTTTTTCTATTATAACCTGACTTTCTGCAGTAGGTTTGCCCACGGCTAACCATGGTTTAATTTTCAGGTTTTGTACATAGGTTAGCTAAAAAACGATTGGAGCACAAAGCAACCTGTTTTGTTTTCCAAGGTTGAGAAATCTGCCCTTTTATGCCAGCTCCAGTTCATTCCCCACCCAATGTGAAATTGTTGCTAGGGCCTAGATGACAGGAAACCATATTCTTCCAAAAAAAAAAAAAAAGGGTTAACTTTCCCCCAAAAACGTTGCAGGGTTTTTTTGCCTTTCAATTTTACTCCAAATCAAGGTATATTTGTATGGGGGAAAATACAAGGAGTTAAGAGTGAGACGGATTATTTCCGAATTTGATAAATAAAAATACTAGCTATCATTTTCAGAAACTTCCAGCAAGTAAACGTGTTTTGATTCAGGCTTCAGGCCCACCTGTCATATTAATATAGTTAACAGGAAGGTGTTAATTACCATTTTTATCCATGACTTTCCAGTTATTTGATTCTAGTTTTCTAATGTTTTGTCAGCTGCCTGAAGGGCCAACAAGGCACAGAAGTGAGTCAGAAATCTAATAAATAGCCATTGCATTAGGATATGGCTGAGGAGAGAAATAGCTTTAAATCCCTCCCCACTTCTCACTTTCTATTCCTGTGCGCTGCCCCAAAATTTCTACCATAACGTCAACTGCAAGGACTGCACCAGTAGCAGACTAAAAACTGTCCAAATTTTATCCCCTTCTCTTGTTTTGTCCTCGTGTGTCCGAATACCTGAACTCAGGGAGTGCTACTTTTTAATTGGCCTGCAAATCATTCCAGATTCCTTTGGGCTAAAACAGCTTGTAATTCTACAAGTAAAACGGGCTACGAACGAACCAGAGTAAAATGTGATAAAAAGTTTGAAAATATATATCTCCCTGTAGCCTGTTCTTCTAGACGTCTTTATTAAGAGTCATTCCAACTGGCACTTTTTTTGACATTGTACAAGTCACAATTCATAAGCTTTTTTTTTTTTTAAATATATACAAATATAATAAGTATTACTAAGTGTCCTCTCTACAAACAGGAAGATAAAGTGCTTATAAATAGAATGCCGCAAATGTAGATGGAAGGACATCCACGAATACTACTGCTCCGATGGGGGAAATCTGGTATGCCGGTGGTTGTGGGGGGAGGTCTTCAGCCATCAAATATTATGCCAAGAACTGCCAATCTTTCTCTGCTCCATCTTCTCCATGGTGGGTCCCTGTAAGACTATCAGAGGCTTATGTTGAGAGTCAGTCTACGCAATGCTTCGAATTGCATTGGGAGGTTGCACTTGCAAAGGATGAACATAACAGTTACTCTGTTATGAAGTTAAATATTAACTCCTTCAACACTGTGATAAAAAGGTTAAGTTCAATTTGCTCTAGGGTGGATGAACAAACAAGGTAACTGTGAAATGAAGAGTCTTGTGGGTAGAACAGTTACGTGTTAAGATATCTAAAACAGTTATCAGATCCACAAAGTTAAACAGATCTTTCCGTCATTGGAAATCAGCCCAAAAACATGCTTATTCGATATCAGGTCTATTTCTAATTTTTAACTCTACTCTGTTTAAACCGAACATGAAATGTGTAAGACTGATTTCAAAAGAATGTACAGGTGGTCCTCGACTTACGACAGTTCATTTAGTGACCATTCGAAGTTAAAAAAAAAAAAAGACTTGTGACCATTTTTCACATTTGCAACCGCTGCAGCAATCTCATGGTTACCACCAGATCGAAACTCAAAAGACGCTCGACTCAACAACGTTTATAATTGTCGGGAGTGTCCCGGGGTTATGGGATCTCTTTTTGCGACCTTCCGACAAGCCAAGTCAATGGGGAAAACAAATTCACTTAACAACCGTGTTGCTAAGTTAACAACTGCAGGGACTCACTTTACAACCGTGGCAAGAAAAGTCGTAAAATGGAGCAAAGTTCACTTAACAAATGTTTTGCTTAGTAACACAAATTTGGGGCTCAATTGAGGTTGTTAAGTCGAGGACTAGCTGTATATTTCATCCTTGTTGAAACCTAGATATTTTTTTTTTAAGTAGAGTGTTTTTAAATTCAAAACCCCCCTAAAGATGAACTGAGCCATGGTTAAGCGCTTACTTTGCATCACGGTGTAGTTAGTCTCTGAATCCAGCATTAGAAAAGGAGAGCTTTCCAAATCTCCTTTCAACACGTCTGACGGTAAGAGATCACTGGCAGGGGGCGTGATCTGAGCCACGTTTCCTTCCATGTCCAAAACGCAGAGAAGGCACACAGAGGGCGTAACACCAGGCCCTCTGGGGGCAAACTCCTCTTCATTCTTCAGGTAACTCCTCAGCGCCCCACTGTGGTGAGATGCTCGTTCACGGGCCCAGGCCCAGTGAGAGGGCTCTCTCAGCATTATCTAGAGATAACAGGAAGACGGAGAGTTAGGAGAGTTGGTTTCAGGAGATCCTTATGTCAACGTTACCACAAACACCTCCCTTTTCAGGGGAAGAGACTTGCTGCTTTGCTGAGGTACAAGCAGGCAGATAGAAAATCTTTTTTGGTGTGTGTTTAATATACGCTGGAATTTACAAGGTCACACGGTTAACCATTCACATGCAGGAATTTTTCTGTAAAACCCATCTCTTTTTCTCAATAAATCTTGCAGAGGTTAGCGCGTGTTTTCTTTTTTTATGCCCGGCATCTTCAACTTCTTTATTAACATGTAAAGATGCCATGCAAGGTATGAAGCACACTAAAATTCTAATACAGTACGTATTAAAATGAACATTTGAATCTTCTCGTGGTTTAACGTGGAGTGTTACTCTTAATGTTACATGCAAGGAGACGGGTCCAATTCATTCATAAGTCTATTTTTATTTGTTAAATTAGCATGCCATCTATGTGGACATGCCCCTGCGGTTTCCTTGGCAAGGTTTGTCTTTAGGGCTTTGCCCTTGCTTCTTCCTAGGGTTGAGAGTGGATGACTGGCCCAAGGTCACCCAGCTGCCTTTGTGCCTAAGGCAGGACTAGTAGTACTCTTGGTCTCCCACTTTCTAGCCTGGTGTCTTAACTGTTATATCAAACTCACCCTGCTAAAAATCGTACTTGTGAAAAAAATATATTTTTCATTGTTAGGCAACTACAAAAAGCACCTGATAATAGCTAGTATAGACCTTGTAGAGACAACGAAGCTGTGTTACATCTAATGAGATTATTGGGCCATCATTTTTGCAGAACATCAGGGAAGTGTATTTTTTCTAACCCAAGGACACACTCTATGCATACAACACGTAACGTTAAAATTCATTCCATTATTTGTAGTTTTCCCTCAGTTATCCTCTATTACTCCCCCACCCAGCTGCCAGTATCTACTGTGGAGTTTCCTTTGCAGGAAATAATTCTGCCCTTCCCTCCATCAAGCCACCGGTTTTAATCAGATTAAACTGCAGCTGACCTCATCACAACATCGCCGGCTAACAAACGCTCTATACTTCATTTTAGCCCAAAAGCCGTCTCTCATTTTTAAGAATTGTGGAAATAGTTTCCTCCAGTTGTCGCCAAGCGCCCAGGGGAAGATTTCATATTTATAGTCTTCTGTGTCTTCTTCCATGTCATTGGCTAAGTACCTATAATTAGGACAAAAAGATGTTGGAAGCAGGGAAAGCCGTCGGGATTCCTTCGGTGACATAATACTGCATAATTTCTCAAGAAAAGCTGAGTCACTTTCTCAATTTGAAATACATCACTTTTTACAACTGTACAAAGTTATAATAGTCACAGTACAAAGTCAGATGTTGTCCACGTTCAAGGACAGCTTGGAGCACGGGAATAAGGTAGTGGATCACCTATCTTCCTTTGTAATGGAAAGCAAGGAAAAAACTCAAATAACAGCCTAAATAAGGAAGTATCAAGGAGAAAACAACATCGGCACCAACACTGACAGGGTAAGCTACTGCACATAAACAGAAAGCAAACCCCACTTCCTTTTATCAAGAAAGATGTTATCTAGTAGTTGGGTAATGAAACATCTAAGAACAAACAACCAAGCTCAGAGAGCACCAAGGATTTTACAATTCAACTCTAAGCTACAAATACCCTCTTCTATTAGAGTACCAAATGGCTCATGTCAATATAATACAAATATTTTCCACTTCTACAGTACATCCTTTGTTCTACATCATCTAAAGATTGATTATGAATTATTTCTGAATAAGAATGTGAAGTCAACTCTGAATTCAGGGGGTCTCTGTCAAGATAAATTAGCCATTTCCAACCCTAAACGCTGTCCAGATATGTGAATATCTTTAAATGGCCTGAGCATTTAAAAAATATTGGAAGCAAAACAAAAGAATAACTATAGGAAAACCATGAAGCTCAAAAAATAACAACTGTGCCACTTACAGAGCTATGAAGAGATTGATCCGTGTATATTCTTTTGTATGTAGGCCAGCTCGTTTAAAGTACATCATAGTCATGGCTATAAGATACTGAATGAGAAAGTGGGTTTTAATATTTTTAAAGACCAGAATTGTACGAGGGACAGGGAAGAAAAAATCATCCTAAGTACATGCATAGAAACAGAACTGAAGAGCCAAAATACCATCTGCTTTTATTAGGAAAGCCATTATAGCTCTGTGGATTTTGAGATGAGAAATTAATAGCTACCCTGATATCACAGAAGGTTATTGAAAGGGAAAGCTAAGTGGCAGCTTGCCAGCTAAGCTCTTCCTAGTACGCTGTTTTTTCAAAATTTCCTTTACTACGGAAATCCACTAAGAACAGAAAAGTAACAGAAAAACCCAACAACACATTTTCAGTTATAGCACCAGGAGCTCCGTGTTGGGAAAAACTTTATCTTCTCTTGAATGGTTGAGTTTGGGTTGCTAAATAACATCACTTTAACTTAGCACAGAGATGTTATGTGAACAATGAAGCATGCTGTTCCCCTGCTGCCTCCTGATACCAATGCAAAACACGGAAGAGCTATCATTGTGAATTTAAGTCCAAACTAATATAATTATTGTTAGCTGGTTTCATTCCTACAGCAGGACTAGAACTCATGGTCTTTTGAATTTTAACCTGAGGCCTTCACCACTAACCAACTGGCTCTAGTTTTGGGTATTAGTGTCCAATTTAAGAACAGGTTTTATTTCTGATATGCTTCTAACTATGATCAGTACAGCTATAAAACAATTGACACAATATATTTCAATTACGTAATATAAATTAGGAACTTCTACATTAAAAATGCGAATAGAACAAAAGCAAATAGAATGTAATAACCCTTCCTTGATATCTAGGTAGCCCTCAACTTACAATTGTGCCCAACATTTCTGTTGATGAACAAGATAGTTAAACGAGATTTGCCCCATCTTACGACCTTTCTTTCCAGTTGTTAAGTGAATCATGGCAGCGGTTAGCTTAGTAACAGAGTTACGTGGATCTGGTTTCCCCATTGACTTGTCAGAAAGTTGCAAGAGGTGATCACATAATCCCAGGACACTGCAACAGTCATAAATACGGGTCCAATGCCAAGCGTCTGAATTTTGATCATGTGACCATGGGGATGCTGCCACGCCGTGCCACAGATTTAAATATGAAACACAGTCAGAAGTCACTTTTTCAGTGCCATTGTAACTTCAGTTACTAAATTAATGGTTGTAAGCTGAGGTCTACCTGTATTTGTTTAGGTGGGGAGGCATTTGGGGGAACAGAATGTATAAAAAATGAGTTAACCAATATAACCTATTTTTCTGGAAAATGGAAGAATATACTCTTGAAAATGGAAGCAAAGATCATTTTATCCACTGTGTGCTGATTTTTTTTGTTTTGTTTTTTTAACAGCTGTTAAGTCTTTTATGAAAACAAATAAACAAAAGGCTATTCTGAAACATCCTGTCTGTTTGTGTGAAAAGAGTGCTTCCAATATTGTTGATTAAAATTGAGCTGTAAAGCTACGAATACAATATTGCTCTAATATTGGAAGCCTTAATACATGAACATAGCAGGAAACGTACCTTATCTGAGATTCTGTAACATGTGTCTGTGGACAGGAAGTCTTGTACCAAGCCATCCTCTGATGAGAAATAAAGTAGAGGGATCCGATTTAAGCTATACAATTCATTCTTGCAGACAAAGTTTAAATTCAGGAAATACAAACTAACTTATAGTATTTATGCTATTTTATAGCATCTGAAAAATATTATTAAATAAACCTTACTCTTGATCCTAATGCACAATAAGAGCATGACATCCTGTTACTATAGAATTTGCCATGCTTACACATTTAGAATCAGAAAAACAGGAAAGTGTTGAAATCATTAAAAGAGATTTGATATTTTAGCCCCCCACCCATCACTCCGTGTTTGAATGAGAAAGAGATGCAACGTTTTTCTGTACAGATTTTAAATGTAATTAAGCTTATTTTTTTGTTAATTTCACATAAACTTTCCCAGACATAGCTTTTAGCAATATTATCTCAAAGCTACCTATTCTAAAAAAAAAAAAAATTCCCTAATCGACTTAAAATCAAACATTTTGCTGTTCTGAAGTGCAGAAGACATCTTAAATCAGCTAATCCGTGATTTACTGAAAAACACATGGCTCAAGGCCATAAACCAGAGGTTGGACAGCAATCATTTTGGATCCTAGAAACCAGAGGTGGTATTCAACAGGTTCTGATCCGTTCTGGAGAACCGATAGCGGAAATTTTGAGCAGTTCAGAGAACCGGCCAATCCCGCCTCTGACTGGCCCTGCCAACCCCATCTCTTCTCTGCCTCCCATTGAGTCCCGGCTGGGTCTTTTTGGGTTGCCCTGCATAGGAGAACGGAGCTGGAAAGCAGGTTAGTGGCGTGGGGAGGGAATGGGGATTTTGCAGTATCCTTCCCCTGCCATGGCTACCAAGCCAAGCCCACAGAACCGGTAGTAAAAAAATTTGAATCCCGCCACTGCTAGAAATCATGTGATTTTAATGAACGATCTGACTGTCCTTCCATTCAATCCCATCACATTTAAGTGAGAGAATGCGATTGCATTTCTTTTTTAATTGGTGGGGAAGAGAGATTTGAAGACAAGGGTTTGCAATCTATCAGGCACTGTGCTGCCAATACAGAAGATTGGACAAAAGGCACAATGGTTAAACTTTGTGTTATCAATTAAGTCAAAGGCAGGCTAGTTGTGGTAGCTTTGCAGGCTAGCTGTGCTTTGAATGCTGTCCATCTCTGTCCCAAGGAGGGCTGAATCCTAGCACAAGTAGATACAACTACTGGACCTAGGAGCTTGAAGAATGCTTCTTGTTCTTCTCTGCGTAGCAGGAAAAATGGCTGCTGCGAAATTTTCAAAGTTGTCGTGGAAAGTTCCTTCTCAAGCCCCTGTGTAGAACCACCAGTAACCAAAGCACCCTGCGTGTTGCGTTGTCGTGTACACCCTGGCTTCACTACAGCAGTGACTGTAGGAGGAACACAAGTACTATGACTGTCTCGCATTTTTCTTTGAAGTGGTTGATAGTAGAGGCCCCAAAATGGCCTTCCTGGGAGGGGGAAACACATTCATGCATCAAATTTAAAGCCGCCACATTAAATATTAGTTTTTAGAAACTTTTCTTCCCAACGCATTAAACTCCTTCAAGACTCAACTAGCATTATATATTACACTCCAATTTCTAACATCAGATTTACCTATTTTGTTTCCCAATGCCCACCCCAGAAGAAATGGGAAAATCTCAAAATAGCCACTTAGATGTTGACAACTGTTTGCTTAACACAAGATGTATATATTGCTAAAAAGACACAATACTGTACACCAAGCATTGGGTGGTGCAAAACAGAATTCTACAGTATACCGAAATGCAATTAAATGCAGTTTAAAAAGTTTGGTCTTTAACCAATAAAAATGCACTCAATAAAATGAGCGACACAAAACTGTCCCCCTAACAACAAAAACGATTAGCAACTACAGCCCATATTCTTCTCTATTGCCAACTCTATAGAGACCTTTTGTCACCAGTTGATTGCCTGTTTTATTTAAATTATCTGCATTGTTTAATAAACAAGATAAATTTCTGTAGAAATAGAAACATTTTGCTACTTCTAGAGAAATTTATCCTGTTTATTAAACAATGCAGATAATTTAAATAAAACAGGCAAACCAACTGATGACAAAGGTCTCTATGGAGTGTGTAAGTTTATGCGTAAGTTTGCCCACAAATTATTGCTAATAGTTCTTGTTGTTAGGGGATAGTTTTGTATTGTTCATTTCGTTATTGGTCAGTGGTCAAAGTTCTGTCTGCAACAAAAGCAACACTTTATTTAAAAAGCTGATTTAAGGAGATTTCAAGACTCAAAAGCAATGTTGCAGCTATTCTGAGTTTGTGCAACCACAGCTTAATATTAGTGCTGAATTAACTCTACTATCCACTTTCACCCAAAGGGAGACGAGGAAGGCCTTGTATGTTGTGTACATATATTTTGGGTAAACTCCCAAGACACTTAAGTGAAATGGGCAGTATAGAAATTTAAACAAACAAAAAGGACACACACTGTACTAAGCAACGATTTGTCCCAATTGTGGTATAAATTATTCAACTGGCTTTACCAAACACTCTAGTTACAAACCATGACTTAACCACAATGGTTCAGTTTATGGGCTAATGCTAATCTAAGCATATTACAGATTACCTAGGAAAGAGGAATATTATTCCTATTTTATAACTCAATGCACACAGACAATACAGTATTCAAAAACAGGCCCGAGTTTGTTTTGAATGATAAACTTTAAAATCCCATCTGATTGTTGCCCTTAACATGCTGTCTGGTGGAAATAAAGAGAGCAGATTTGTAATTTTGTAAGTTCAATTCGATATTTTTTTTATCATACAAATTAGAATTCAAGAAGGGATCCCATAAAACACAGCAAATAGTTAGCTACAAAAAACAGCAACACAGAAGTGTTTTATGCTGGGGGTTAAATGGCCCAAGCAGGACTCATCTGACGTTATTCCCAATTAATAACTACATTTTGCTTAACACGTCATTTCTAACACCAGCAGATATGAATTAAGTATTGCATAGTCATTTTTAAAGATATATTTTCATACTATTTCCAAATACTAAATCTGTCAGGACTGAGATTATCGATCAATTAGATAATCCTCAAACCTGCCCCAAACTGCATTCCTGCCAATTTTCCTCCTCTTCCTTTTTTTTTAATGGATTAGCTCCTTTAAAAAAAACAAAAAACCACTTGAATTCCTCCTACTTAAAAAACATCCTTTGAGTTGCATTTCTCTCCTTTTGAATAGCCCACAGCAAGTACATTTCCTTTTGTTGCCATCCTGACAGGACTGCAGAGTTTATGGGGAAGAACCCCCCTCCCCAAAGATGTCTTATTTTGCTCCGATTCCCGGGTTAAATTGAGCTCCAGTTGCGCACACACAAACACACACCCTCAAATGGGAACGGGCGTATTCAACCAGGGGTTTTTCATGTAAAAAGAGCAATGATTAATGGCAGTCTCTATGGAGAGCGTGAAAGGCATCAATAGAAAAAGGGGGGGAAAATGGCCCCGCTTCTTCTTCCACCATTCCCCACCACACCATTTCCCGCCAAAAATTTCCCGCCCTTTTTACACCCCCCTTCACCCCCCCTCTTCATCCCCCCACCTGAGCACAGCGACAACCACCCAAAGAACAGAAGGAAAGGAGGCGGCTCGAAAAGCACCGCTAGCCTCGCCCACTTCTCTTCAGCGCTACCGTTTATAGGCTCCACTTCCACCCCGGCTGCACCAATCCCCGCTAAGAGAAGGCGGGGATAATTGGGACAAGTCTCCTTCTTACAATTCATCCCCCCTCCCTGTTTCCCTCCCTTTCCCGTGTTTCGGGCGAGCTGTCAATCAAGCATTGCTGACGCAAATGCTGCTTTGCTGGGAATTTTTTTTAGAAGTTTTTAAAGTGGTTTTTTTTTTTAATGCTAAATTGGGCTTCGTTTTAAGAGAGGTTCGCTTGCCAAGCTGGGAGAGCTTGTAATGTTTTTGTTAATAGCAATAACACTTAAACTTATATATATATTAATTTGTCAATTGCTTACAAGATAATAGGTATAAGTAAAAACATAGTTATGAATACGTGGATACATATAAGAAAAATAAAAGAAACAATAGGACAGGGATGGTAGGCACATTGGTGCACTCATGCAAGCCCCCTACAGACCTCTTAGGAAAGGGGTGAGGTCAATAGTAGAAAGACTAAGGTTAAAGATTTTGGGGTTTGGGGAAAAAAACCACAGAGTCAAGTAGAGTATTCCAGACATTGACCATTCTGTTGCTGAAGTCCTCGTATTTCCTGCAATCAAGTTTGGTGCGGTTAACGTTGAGTTTGTATCTATTGTGTGTTCTCGTATTGTTATGATTGAAGCTGAAGTATTCATTGACAGGACATTGCAATGTATGATTTTATATACTATACTTAGATCGGACCGAAGGTGGCGTAGGTTTTCTAGGTCTAGAATTTCAAGCATAAGGTATTCTGCAACGAGTAGAGGAATGGAGAACTCTTCTAGTGAAATATTTCTGGACTTTCTCAACTGTATTAATATCAGATACGTAATGTGGGTTCCAGACTGATGAGCTGTATTCGAACATTGATCTAGCAAATGTTTTGTATGCTCTAGTTATTAGTGTAATATTACCAGAGAAAAAGCTACGTAAGATTAGGTTAACAACTCTTAACGCCTTTTGGGCTATGTAGTTACAGTGGGCTCTAGCACTTAGGTCATTTGAGATAAATACTCCAAGATCCTTGACAGAGTTATACTGCTTCATATACTCCATATACTGCTTCATAATATTGTGGTGCTTTCCCTATGTTACTATGCAACCATAACCATCAGATGGCAAAGCTATCATTTTTAGTGTTACCCGTTCCATCGCAACCCTTCCTGTCCTTGGCTAGCATGGATATTAAATTGCAAAAAACTGCCACCTTGACCAGCCTGGCCATTAGACTGCAAGACCCATTATCCTCTGCCAGATGGAGTTGGCATGGTAGATTGCAAATAATTTGCATCATTCTCCATCACGGCTGTTTAAAAGTCTCTTTGCTCATCCAGCTCACCCGGTGACTGTGTTAGTAAAGGCTATAGAGTATAGGTAATCCTTGACTTACGACCACAATTGTGCTCAAATGTCTGGAGATTCTGTCATCCAGGTTGTCCCAAAGGTGTTTTTGTTTTTTTTTCAAGAGGCAGCTGGACTTTCTGTTTTTTCTTTGAAGAGGTTTCGCTTCTCATCCAAGGAGCTTCCTCAGCTCTTCAGAAGTTCTTTTTTTCAATTGTTGCTTTTAAATGTCTTTTCTTTTTTGTATGTTTCATAAAAATAAAATTTTATAAAATGAAAGAGAGAAAGAGAGCCTCCAGAGCCTGGGGAGGTTGTTTTTGCCCTCCCAGAGGCCTCCGGACCCCAGGGAGCCCCACATGGCTGGCATACAGTATCTTTTGGACCACCTTTTCCAACCCAGGTTGACATCTCCAATCCATAGATCACAATCAGAGTAATCTCAGATTTCTATGAAATAAATGGGACCGAAGGGAGATTATGCCTTTCCATCACAGCACCAATCCCAGAGAACAGCTTCTCTTTGGAGAGAAAATGGTTTCTCCTACCTCATCCTTTTAGAAAGTGATAAAACTGAGCTTTTTCCAAACTTGAATGGTACTTTTCTATTAAATTAACTTGTGAACTGTTGGGGAATTATCATAGAATTGCTGGATTTCAGAAAACTTTTTTTTAATAGTAAATTGTACAATCTTTGTTGTACCATGGCTTATCAAATGATATTTACAGTGGATGTTTTATCCCTTTGTACATAACAAGATGGAATGATATGGAGAAAATACACACCTGAAAAATTAATGACACTCTTCAATCACACACACAAAAAGAAGTTTTGCTTCTCATCCAAAAAGCTTCTTCAGCTCTGACATTCCTCACCATCCAGTCAGAGCTTCTTGGTTGAGAAGCAAAACCTCTTCAAAGAAAAACCAGAATGTCCAGTTAGCTCTTGGGAAAAAAAAAACCTTTGGGAGAATTGAGTCCAACAATCGAGACAGTTGTTAAGCGAATTTTGCCCCGTTTTATGGCCTTTCTTGTCACTGTTGTTAAGGGAATCACTGCAGTTATATTAGTAACCTGGTTAAGTGAATCTGGCTTCCTCATTGACTTTGCTTGTCAGAAGGTCATAAAGGAGAATGAATCACATGATCCCAGGACCTTACAACCGTCATAACTATGAGTCAGTTGACAAGGGTCCGAATTTTTTTTACCATTTTTACCGTGCTGCAAGGCTGTAAGTGTGAAAAATGGTCATGTCACTTTTTTCATTGCCATTTGAACTTTGAAGGTCACTGAATAAACTGGTTGTAACTCAAGGATTACCTGTACTTTTAAGCATGATTTATCTAGAAGAGTGTATCTGCAGCTCAGGATTGAACCGGGGACTTTTGGGGCCTCTGGTGATGTTTCCCTAGTGGGGTAATGGAACGCCTGCAAGCCAACAACCCAAACAGCACCGAGCATTCCCTGGTTTTATTTATTAAATGCATCTTGTTTGTTTATTTATTTTAAATGTTCCCGTTGTGGATGGAGATCGCTGGAGGGTTTCAGAAACAGGGCAACCATTTGACTGGGCTTGTTTAAGCATCTCTCTGAGATGGTATATTCTCCTGCTTGAGCGGGGGGCTGGACTAGAAGACCTCCAAGGTCCCTTCCAGCTTCTATTCTATTCTATTCATTCTTATTCTATTCTTTCTGTTCTATTCTATTCCTTATTCTATTTGTTATTCTATTCTATTCTATTTATTCTATTCATTCTTATTCTATTCTGTTCATTCTTATTCTATTCTACATTCAATATCTATTCTATTTTATTCTATTCTATTCTCTACTCCCCTGAGCAGGGGGTTGGACTAGAAGACCTCTGAGGTCCCTTCCAGCCTTATGGTTCTATGTTCCAGAATGCAATTTATTTGCAGATATCAACACTGCGATGAAGATGGAAATCAGTGCCGACTTAAGCATGTTGTTGTTGCATTGTTTTTGTAACTGGGCTCGTTTCCCTCCTGAGTAACGTCCCTACTCCAGCGTAAAAGAAAACTGCAGAAAGAATGACGCGTCGGCGCGTGCGCATATCCCCGTCAAATTCGAACTCAGAACTCCATCCTTCTCCCGCCGCCTTCCTAGCTCGCCTTCTTCGCATAGCAACAGTTATTTTGTCCCAATCGCCCTAACTTCGGCAACCATTTTCCCATTGGAGGAGAGGCCAGACTTTGGGCCAATCAGCGGGAGCCACGGGACCCTCTTTTTCCCTGTCCAGCTCGGGAGGACAACACCTCGGGAGCCTGTATGGGCCGTACCATTAGCAAGCTCTAGAGAGGGTGGAGAAGGCGAAGAGAAGGCGAAGGATCTGGGAAGAGTTCAGAAGGACTTTGTTGGAAACCATCCTTTCGAGACGCTTCCGGGAAATCCACAGAAAGAGGAAAAGAAACGGGAGAGAAAGATAATAAAAATAAAAGGGGACGACCGACGCGCTTGGTACGCCCCGGGGCGGAAGTGAGGTGTCTTCTGAGCGTCGGGACTTCCGGTTGGGCAGAGGAGAAGAGTTGGTGGTTCAGGCTG